TTTAATTATTCCCGATTACAAGGTGTTCTGATGAGATCAAAAAGGGAAACACTGAACAGGGTTGGCTGTGTTGGTTAAGGCAAGATTCTAGTGCTGCAGATAAGTGATGTCCTAGAGAGTTCAACAACAGAATTGATTTGGTTCGAATTAAGGAACAAAAAGGCTACAATTATAGTCACTAAAAGCATTTAAAAATTGATAAAGTGGTGTTATTGGACCTCATCTGCATTTTATGGAAAAAACCCACACTTTTTATGAAGAAGTGTTTCCTAATTACTCTTCTGACTGGCCAGGCTCTTACTTTACTGTTATGTCCCATTGTTCAAAACATTCTCAACAGCATAAAAGGTTTCTCTGTTTCTCTTATTAATTCCTTTCAAATCCTAAAAAAAACTCAAATCAAAATCACCTACTGTTACCTATGCCACTCCCAAAAGACGTTAAAAACAAGTGTTATGTTAAAGGCAGCATTTACAGGCACTCAAGCTTTTTGATGAGGTTCATTGTTTGGATTTTCAAAGTCTTGCTTATAATTTGGTCAGAATATAGAAGAATTTTTTTTACATAGATACACCAGCTGAAATTATTGTTTCCAACAATCATAGAGGCAGTTAAAGATAGACAACAAACTCTGACCTTAGCAGGGATGCTCACATCTTGTGAAACAATTCAGATAAAACAGGAAAGTGACAATAACAAAAATATTTGTAGAACTGAAAGATTCTGAAAAAAAGGATCTGAAGTGCAGTCTTTACAATAATGACTTCCACTTTTGGTGTGCCTTTTGACAAGAAAATGTGGTTAAGTTTTGGGAACTGCACAAAATGCACTTCAGTGAAAATATTCCATATTTTAAGTGCGAAAAGAGGTGAACATGACAATGCCAGAACAGCAGAAAACAATACATAAACAGGTCACATGAAAGATGCGACTAATCCCTTAACAATGGATGGCAAGAATGAAAAAACATCTAGAAAGAAAAGTCTTTTGACCTAAATCCACAGCAGAATGAAGTAGGTCTTTAAGGACTAGGAGACAGTAAAGACTGCAGATGTTGGAAGCAGAGTTAATAAATATGGAGCTGGACAAACACAGCAGGTCAGACAGCATCAGAGGAGCAGGAAAGTCAATGTTTCGGGCTGAAATCCTCTGATGCTGTCTGACCTGCTGTGTTTGTCCAGCTCCATGTTTATTGACAATGAAGCAGGTCACCTGACACTGCCAATTACCCTAACTTGATAAATACTATGAACTACTTTTGGAGCATATCTTTGAGTGCATCTCGGCTGTTGGGTGTTTGCTTGTCTGGCCCATCATAGAAAGCATTAATTCCAGAGAGATGTAGGAATCTATGCACTGTCTACTGTGTAAAGAGCAAGCTAATCACAGCATGGAAATGGTTTTTATCAAGTAAACATACATCATCTAAAACTCTGCAATGTACAGAAAAAAAACAAAGAAAAACAATTTCCTAGTAATTAACTCTGCATCCACTGTAAGGAACTCAGTGGATCAAAGGGTAAGCAAGTAATTCCAATGTATTGCCTGACAAGTGCATATGAACAATCTATTTTTAGTGAGGTGCTTCTTCATAGTAGCAACTGCTCATCTATCACCCCTGTCAACAATTACACACAAAGAGGGCACTCAGAGAATGTATATCTTGGCCAAGCTGCATTAATATTAATACAGTTACACAGTTCTTCCTTGAGGTTTGTAAATACAAAACTAAAAAATAATCTAATAGAAGTTTCTGCCCCTAAGGAAGCTTCAAGACAATCCACATCCAACAAACTGCTCTGCAAATGCTGTTCACATTTTGACAGCTGCATCTCAGCAGTTGAGACAATTCATAACATTCTAAATTAACCAACAACTTTCTAAATAAGACAATCCACAACCCAGTACTTAGGTCAACTTGCCTAACAAGCTGTGAAAGCAGCATATCATAGGGCTAAATGACCTAACCTGACCTCATTACAGCTTGGGATCAAACATGAGTAAAAGTTGAATTCCAGAAGTGATGGGAAATTGTTGACAGCAGGACGGAATTTGACTGAATATCGCATCAAGAAGGCCCAGCAAAACTGGAGTCGATGGGAAAATAGGTGTGGTTGTCTTCAGCTGCTTCATTAATGACCTTTCATCATAAGGCTAGAACTGAAGATATTCTCAGATTATTGCGCAATGTTTAACAAATTTCACAACTCTTCAGATACTGAAGCAATCCATGTCCATATGTGGCAAGACCTGGACAATATTTAGGTTAGTCACATTTGCAGCACACAAGTGTCAGGCAATGACCATTTCATACAAGAGTTCACATTCATTTGCGTTACTATTATCTAATAACTCACTTTCAACATCAATGGTCTGGAATAATAGCTATATGAATATTATGGCTACAAGAGCAAGTCAGAGTCTAGGAATCCTGCAGTGAGTAACTCCCCTCCTATCTCCTCAATGACTGTACACTCTACAAGTCACAAGTCAGGCGTGTGATGGAATACTGCCTGGATGAGTGCAGCTCCAACAACACACATGAGGCTCAACCATCCAGTACAAAGCATCCTTCTTTATCGGCACCCATCCACCACCTTCAACATTCATTCCTGTCACCACCAAGAAACAGCAGCAGTTTGCATTATTCTATGAATGCACTATAGTCACTTACCAAGCCTTCTTTGACAACAGCTTCCAAACTTGTGATCTCTGCCACTAGAAGAACAAGGACAGCAAATACATGGGAACAGCACCACCTGCATGTTCTCCTCCAAACTGCACACCATCCTATCCTGGAACTATATCATGCTCCTTCACTGTCATTGGGTCAAAATCCTGGAACTCCCTTCCTAATGGCACTTGTGTGGCCCTGCAACGGTTCAAGAAGACAGCTCACCACCAACTTCTCCAGGGCCATTAGAGATGGACAATAATTGCTGGCCTAGTCATTGATACCCACATCTCTTAAACAAACTAAATCATTGTTTTAAGTAAGTAAATTTTCTTAATGTTAATGGATCATTTAAAAAATTTGTCCGAGATCTGGATCCAATCTGTATTATCACCAAAGTCTAATATGTTCTTTCTTGAGCATTACCTATGTGTGTCTAACCTTTTTTGAAACCTGCTGATTAGGTTTTAAGATAAGTTGTTTCTGAACAGATACAGGACTAAACAAATGAGTTGAAACATTGCTACTGTCCACTTTCAATGACGTCAACTTGTATTCATCCTTACCAACTATTGTTAACTACCAGTTCTCTGTGCCTTGAAATTTATATTTCTCATCTGAATGTTTTAATTTCTCATGAACTTGCTCCTTCTTAGCCACATAACCCCGCCTAACTCTGGTTCCAAACTCTCCATTCCTTTCACATCAGTCTCATGCTCCCTTTTTTTGCCCCTTTATTGTTGACAATATCTTCAGCAGCTTAAGTCCAATGCTCTGGAATTCCCTCCATAAACCACCCTGGCTCTCCACCTCCCACTCCCACTTTAAGAACATTCTGTCAAATCTCTGTTACTTTGACCAAACCTTTGACCACCTCTTCTACTGTCTGTATTTTCTAACTGGGAATTAACTTTTTTGGATTAAACAACTCTGAAGCACCTTGGCACACTTTTCTAAATTGACGAAGTCATTTAAGTGTATTTTGCAATGGTAATCATTGCTGACTGTCCAATGGCATGACAACAACTCAAAGGTTCCCGTGGAGACCACACACAAAAATGTCCCTTTTGGTTACTGTGCACTTGAACAAATTATCTGCATAGTCTAAAAAAAAATCAGAGCGTACAATTGGTGGTAATTGTAATACAATTAAAATGTGAATTTTGTGCTGCATTCCCATTGCTGACAGTAAGTGAGGTAACTCAATGTTGGTTATTAGTGAACATCTCTTTTGAGTGAAATGGCCTTCTAAATTCTTGTGATGGATCATCAGATAACCATTCAGCTGTGTCACAATGACTGATGCAGCTACACTTGTGCTGTTGAGGACTGTTCTGTATGTCCGCTGAGCTTTTGGAACCACACTTTCAGGTAATTATGAAGGCAATGAAGCCCCTGCATAATAATTTTCTTCAACTGATTCCCTCACTTAATTGAAACATTCTGCCTAAGTAAGAAGGCTGCACAAATGTGGCTTGGAGATACAATTGCTAACAGACCTTGTTGGATACTCTGCTTAAACTCAAATCATTGATAGCAGACTTCCATTGTATGGCACTGTGAAGAGGTGGCAATCCATTGAGCCATGTACTTAAGGAAGGATTCACACTGGTCAGTGTCCAGCAAGTTCCTACTTCTCCTCTTGCCATGACCATCAATCTTGCATGCATTCATTTTAAGGTTCACCCAGTGCTCCCTCCTGAATCTTATCAGCCATATTTTTAATGGTACCTGTATACAATTGGTGGATTAAATGATTTGGGTGCAATTTTGGCTTCATAGGAACTACTTTGGACCTGTCACTGTGCTTTGATGACATCCATAGAAAGGAAAGAGGTGCAGAAGATACACTTGAATGTCAACCATGTGGTACCCCTTCAAATATTGCTTATGTGTCATATGATACCTCTTCAAATATTGCTTATGTGTCAAAATATTGTTGTAATGATTTTGTGCTTGAAATATCTCAGACCAGTGACTGAATGAGTAAGTGGAGAAAAAAAGGTTCTGAGCTTGAAATTGCCTTCTACTTTGTCCATTCCCACTCTTAGGTTTGCACTGTGTGGCAAGGTTATATAGATTGAGTTTTTCTCTCATTACTTCTGTTTTGTTCTGCTGTGAGGTGACATTAGCTATCAAAAAGTCAGTGTTGAGATGGTGGAAATCTCAGCAGTACATAAACAATACCCAAATGCTCATCCCATTGTGGATGTGAGAACTAAATATGAATATCTTAGGCAGGTACATTATTTGATGGAGAGAGTGTGCTGAATATCAATGAGATTTGTTGTCCCTAGTGTAATTTTTTTTTGTTTTTAAGATTTGCTTTTCAAACCATTTGAAAAAGGATTTGGATTCAAATAACGTGGATAAAGTTAGTTCTTCAATAACAAGCTTTTTTGCTCAATTTTCCGATATGAGGACAACAGGCTACTACAGGGTACTGTAAACCTTGATTTGTACACATATGACATATATTATTTAAAATCCATCTTTTACTGGAAAATAAAGTTGTACTTTGAATTTTCTTTGCAGACTTTGGTAGAGAGAGCACACTCTAAAATTGTTCAGGAATACGTAAGAGTCCTTATTAACAGTTCTCTGAGATGTACATCAAATAACCGGACTCAGACATCCAGAAAAATTATTCAGGACTCCCAGCAGCTGCAACAGGTCTTTGCAGAACAAGTAAGAAGATTTCACAAACTATCCTATTAATTTTTCTTATATTTAACAACATAAGCAAAAATATAGGAGCAAGAATAGGCCATACTCCTTGAACGTGCTCATTCATAAAGATTAACTCTTACCCAGTTATCATCCACTATTATCTTATTAAAATGTGAATGGGCAAGTTGCTCTATAGCCTAACAAGTTACTCAGAATGCTAAAAATGGTTTGAATTGAATTGCTTTGTGATTTTATTTTCTGCCCCCTACCTTCCTATCCAGAAAGCCTATCAGGGATCAGGAATTTACTACAGCATTACTTTGTTCCCACCTATACTGTGGCACAAAATGGTGGTTTTGCTAATTAGTGCTGATTAAGTTACAGCACATGCAGATTTTCTTCCGAAGATGTTCTGTGCCTGGAGATGTGATTTTTCAAAGTTTCAAGCAAATGTCATATGTCATGCAAACTGTGAACGATACCCTCTTCCATTCAAACTACTCGGAAATGAGAGTTGTGTACAATGAAAAATAAAAAGTAAACAGGAGAAACCAATGTATTTAAGATCTCACTAAATTTTTTATAGATCATGAACTTGAGCATTCATGTGTACTCTCGAAGTAACTTCAGCAGGATTGCACTGGCATAAGTGCACGATGTGTGTATGCTAGGCCCTGGGTTATTGCTGAAGTTTCTGATATAGATTGCCATCGATAGGGGCTCTGCCCTTTCTAAGCATGAACACTGATTTAAGAATGGGTGAGATCAGGTGCAGAGACTCTTTTAATGTTCCAGTTTCTTCAACTCGGTCTTTGCTGGGACTCTGTGCATGATTGACCACAGATATGGCCATGTATACTGACTTGTTGAGGGGTAATTATAGGAACAAGCTAGGGATTCAGCTTGCCCCATGACTCAGCCATCTCCACTGGATTTGTTGGATTTGTGACATAGGGGAGTAATGCAGGTATCCTCCTAATGCTTAAACATCCAATATGGTATGCAATTATAGAGGTTTTCTGCTGTACAACAAACTTTGATAGGATCAGAAATAGGGTGTGGAGTAGATACCAAATATAACACGCAATGATTTTCAGGACCTACAGTTTGCCTACAAAGTCAAAATTAATATATATATATAGCTTAATATAGCTTAAGTGTATTGTCAACTCATTGTTAGGACTTCATATTTTCATTTAGCAACATTTGATTTTGTAAATCTTTAAACAACCATATTCTCATTTATGGTGTTGTCAATATAAAAACATTGTGATAATCAAAAATATTTGTTTGTTTTTAATATTTTCAGCACTCAAGTGCCACTTGCCTAAACAAACCTATCCTAGATGTGGCAGAAATCATTCAAATTAATGATATTAATGCATTGAAGACTGAGGTTGCTGCATTTGTTTATAACTACCCTGATGTAAGGTAGGTGATCATGTAAAACTCAATTTTTATTGATATTCTTTTCTGAGGAGATCTTAAGCTGCCAAATTGAAAAAGTTGACAGATTCAAAAACATCTAGCAATTTATAAACATAATTTTAGAAAAGCCCTAATTAAATTGGAATTGAATGTTATTGTGTTGCCATAGTTTTACTTAGCAGAGAGATGACTGGTGGTGATTTAATCTGAGGGCCACCATACCTCAGGCAAGGGGAGAGGTCGAGAAGGAGAGTCCTTCATAGTAGCCTCAGCCAGTGATGGGATTTGAACCAGCACCATTGGCATCACACTGCTTCACAAACCAATTGTCCAGCCAACTGAACTAAATCATGTTCAAATTTGAGATTTATCCATTGACATGGGAGCAGTGCTGGCAAATGTTTGGATCTGCAAGAAATAAATGCA